GTCTGCATGCTTGTGCGACTACTCTTCTATGGAGTCATAAATATCTCGCCAAATGACTCAAAGGCCATGTTGCCAGCTAAGCAACGCAAACATCAGGTAGATTCATATTATTGTGATACAAGCACACACTTCTACTTGACAGTTGAGAATGTTCTTCCCTTGGTGGCGCACCGGCATATCCGGCGGCCGCCGCGATGCAGCCTCGCCGTCCCTGTCCTCAGGACTTGGTCACTCTGCTTGCATGCAGCAAACCAGTGTTTCGGCGTGCCAGGCAAATTCAATATCATCACAGTCGCCACAGCTCCTGGCAGCTGGAGTGAACTAGTGACTAGATAAACTTAAAGACTAAATAGAGACAAGCTGCCCCAGCGCCCCTGAGAGGCGGCAAGTCCGGCAAAGGCGGTACCTGCCGTACCCATGCATATCCAGGCATGCAACTTGATCAGTCAGCCTGCTAGATTCATTTTATTGTGATACAAGCACACACTGCTACTGGACAGTTGAGAATGATCTTCCCTTGGTGGCGCACCGGCATAGCCGGCGGCCGCTGCGATACAGCCGCACCGTCCCTGTCCTCAGGACTTGGTCACTGTGCCTGCATGCAGCAAACCACACTCAGTGGGAGTTGTTCACGGTACAACATAATAGTTTGGCGTACCAGCTGATTCAACAGCCACTCAGTCGCCACATCTCCTGGCCTGGAATAAACTAGATCAAGTTAAAGATTAAATCCAGACAAGCTGCCCCAGCGCCCCCAAGAGGCGGCAAGTCCGGCAAAGGCGGTACCTGGAGTAGCCAGGCACGCAACTTGGCCAGTCAGCCTGCATGCTTGTGTGACTGCTCTTCTAAGGAGTCATAAACATCTCGCCAGATGACTCAGGGCCATGTTGCCAGCTAAGCAACGCTAACATCAGGTAGATTCATGTTATTGTGATACAAGCACACACTGCTACTTGACAGTTGGGAATGCTCTCTTCCCTTGGTGGCGCACCGGCATAGCCGGCGGCCGCTGCGATGCAGCTGCACCGTCCCTGTCCTCAGGACTTGGTCACTGTGCTTGCATGCAGCAAACCACCCTCAGTGGGAGTTGTTCACGGTACAACTAAATACTTTGGGGTACCAGCTAATTCAATCTCATCACAGTCGCCACATTTTCTGGCAGCTGGAATAAACTAAATCAAGTTAAAGCCTAAATAGAGACAAGCTGCCCCAGCGCCCCTGAGAGGAGGCAAGTCCGGCAAAGGCGGTACCTGGAGTAGCCAGGCACGCAACTTGGCCAGTCAGCCTGCATGCTTGTGTGACTGCTCTTCTAAGGAGTCATAAACATCTCGCCAGATGACTCAGGGCCATGTTGCCAGCTAAGCAACGCTAACATCAGGTAGATTCATATTATTGTGATACAAGCACACACTGCTACTTGACAGTTGGGAATGCTCTCTTCCCTTGGTGGCGTACCGGCATAGCCGGTGGCCGCTGCGATGTGTCCTCAGGACTTGGTCACTCTGCTTGCATGCAGCAAACCACACTCAGGGGGAGGTGTTCACGGTACAACTTAATATTTCGGCGTACCAGGCAAATTCAATACCCACGCAGTCGCCACAGCCCCTGGCAAATGGAATGAACTAACTAGATAAAGTCAAAGACTAAATAGAGACAAGCTGCCCCAGCGCCCCCGAGAGGCGGCAAGTCCGGCAAAGGCGGTACCTGGAGTAGCCAGGCACGCAACTTGGCCAGTCAGCCTGCATGCTTGTGTGACTGCTCTTCTAAGGAGTCATAAACATCTCGCCAGATGACTCAGGGCCATGTTGCCAGCTAGGCAACGCTAACATCAGGTAGATTCATGTTATTGTGATACAAGCACACATTGCTACTTGACAGTTGGGAATGCTCTCTTCCCTTGGTGGCGTACCGGCATAGCCGGCGGCCGCGGCGATGTGTCCTCAGGACTTGGTCACGCTGCTTGCATGCAGCAAACCACACTCAGGGGGAGGTGTTCACGGTACAACTTAATATTTCGGCGTACCAGGCAAATTCAATACCCACGCAGTCGCCACAGCCCCTGGCAGATGGAATGAACTAGATAAAGTCAAAGACTAAATAGAGACAAGCTGCCCCAGCGCCCCCGAGAGGAGGCAAGTCCGGCAAAGGCGGTACCTGGAGTATCCAGGCACTCAACTTAGCCAGTCAGCCTGCTTGCTTGTGTGACTGCTCTTCTAAGGAGTCATAAACATCTCGCCAGATGACTCAGGGCCATGTTGCCAGCTAAGCAATGCAAACATCAGGTAGATTTATGTTCTTGTGATACAAGCACACACTTCTACTTGACAGTTGGGAATGCTCTTCCCCTGGTGGCGCACCGGCATAGCCGGCGGCCGCTGCGATTCAGCCGCGCCGTCCCTGTCCTCAGGACTTGGTCACTCTGCTTGCATGCAGCAAACCACACTCAGGGGGAGGTGTTCACGGTACAACTTAATATTTCGGCGTACCAGGCAAATTCAATACCCACGCAGTCGCCACATCTCCTGGCAGCTGGAATGAACTAGATAAAGTCAAAGACTGAATAGAGACAAGCTGCTCCAGCGCCCCCGAGAGGCGGCAAGTCCGGCAAAGGCGGTACCTGGAGTAGCCAGGCACGCAAAATGGCCAGGTAGTCTGCATGCTTGTGTGACTGCTCGTCGTATATGGAGTCATAAACATCTTGCCAAATGATGTTGCCAGCTAAGCAATGCAAACACGTCAGTGCTGCTTGCAGCAAACCACAATCAGGGAAAGTTGAGCATACCAGACAAATTCAAAACCACACAGTCGCCACATCCCTGGCAGCTGAAATAACTAGATAAAGACTAAATAGAGACAAGCTGCCCCCGCGCCCCTGAGAGGCGGCAGGTCCGGCAAAGGCGGTACCTGCCGTACCCAGGGCAATATGACGTCACATGCCGGCACCCTCCCAAAACCACGTGCCGGAGAACCCACATGCACTGGGCAAAGACTCGCTTGATCCTCTGACCGTGCCTGCCGAGATGGTGACTGCTCCACGGACTCTGTCAAGGGAGGCAGCACCTCGCCAATCCGCCCATGATCTCAGTACCCCGCTTGACCAAGGCAGCGGCTTTGCATCGAAACGACGCAGCTTCTCATGCTGCTTAGCCACACCATCGATACTTGAAGTGTCTGAGAAAGGCCACTGTTTTCTGCTTGCAAATCAGCTCTGTATATAGTTCGAATGCGCGCTCGGGGCGGACAAAGTTGGTAAACACAGCTCACAATCCCACTCAAAATAGCATGGAGCTCACACAAGGCAGGCCTGTCATGCATGCCCAAGCTGATCAAATGGAAATTATTTCGCTGAGAAACAAATTCAACAATCAACTCCCGAATGTCACCAGCACAATCAGGCATAGACTCGTTCAAAACAGACCATGTCCAGAGCCAGAATCCGCTTGTAGAGGAGTTCCACGTTGATTGTGGAAAAGATCTCCAGCAGGCCTTCTTTGAATACCGCTAACACTCCGGCGCTTGCACGGCTCTTGCGCTGACTTCCGCACCGGCTGCTCTGGGACATCATCTTCGTCGCAGTCATCCTGTCATCCACAACGATGCAAGCTGTGACAGCTCGTGCCACAGAAAGTCTTTGCGCGCAACTCTCAATATCATGCGTAAGTAAAAGAGTCTTGTTGTGCTTGATGTGAAAGAAGCTTGCTGGTTCGCATCAGAGGCAAATGCTAACATGATCATGCAAAAACACAAGTGACCTTGGGTGACTCCGCCACAAGAGCCAACAGCAAAACAATGACAATATCCCACAATGAAATCATCATGGCACGACGACGAACTGGCCATGGGTCAACATCCGGTACCCCCAGTGAACCTCCCAATCCCCACTAAAATAGGTTCTAAAATGGGTGGTGAAGTCACCTACCAACCAAAATGGGATCCCAAAACGGTTTTGACCACCACAGCCAACTCGGTAACGCCAGCCGCCAGCTGAGGATCGATCAACGCAAGTCGGGGCTGCCGGAAGGGGAGGAAGACTCGGCAAGGGAGGCAGCGCCTGCAAGAAACCGCGGCCGCAAAGGCCCCGCACGTCGGCTCGCCCTGGATCTGTTGAATCAGGTGGGCTGAAAAAAAGAAACCCGTGGACAACCCTTGTATCCTTATGCCTCAGCATCGGTCAGTATCGGTCTTTTTTCCTCTGCATCGGTTTGCAGTGTTTTGGCAGCTCTGGCTCGAAAGTCACGACTTTTCCGTACAAGTGTAGTATGCGAAGTACACTCTGCCAGCTCCCAGCTCCAGCTGGAAAGTCGCAACTTTTAAGTACAAGTGCAGTACACAAAGTACATTTTGGCAGCTCCAGCTGGAAAGTAGCAACTTTTCAGTAGTATGCGCAGTACACTTTGGCAGCTCCGGCTCGAAAGTCGCAGATTTTCAGTGCAAGCAAGTGTAGTATGGTGTAGTATACGAAGTACATTTTGGCAGCTCCACAGCGAAAGTCGCAACTTTTCAGTACAAATGTAGTACACAAAGTACATGTTGGCAGCTCCAGAGAAGGCTGCAGGGCAGCTGGTTGGATTCGGCATGGCGGCCAATGAGTTGGGTATCGGTTGGGTATCGGTTTGGGTATCGGTTTAGGCCCTGCAAATTTATGATTCCGCAATCTTGGTTTGCGACAACAACTAGGACCTGATGTGTCTTCATGGCTTCTGGGGGTATCTCTTTTTTTTGTTCCCCCCTCTGTATCGGTTTACAATGGTTTTGGCCTGCGAAACAAGTTAAGGGACGGCCCCTTACATAACGAAAAGGCGCGGGGTTGTTTTTTCAGCCCAGGTGGATTTCTGTACAGGCATCTAGGTCTAGAGAGGTTAGAATAAGGGTACCAACTGTTTTCTGTAGTCTATTTTAGTAGGGGACACCGCCTCCCCAAACAAAAAGGGTAAAAGGGCACTACTGAGAGACCTAGGGCATGCTTCATATTGGAGTCTGCTGCCCGAATTGTAAACCCA